TTAAATAGGTAATATAAAAAAGTTACATGTGTAGCCAATTGTACTCTCTCCTGTAGTGGTTCATTGAACCACAATACTAATAAGTGATTAATAAAAATCAAAAGACCAAAAAGGTTACCTTAATACCAAAAAAAAATATATATATAAGTGATTATCTAAATTTTTATTATCAATAAGATTTGAACATTTAACCTATTACTTAAAGAGTTAACAACCTGACTACTTTATTAGATTACTACATTTCTAATCTATATTATTTTATCATAACAATTAAATACTCTACTATACTCTTATTTTTTTAATTTTATTTAAAGTCTTTTCTCTATATCTTAATATAACAATATTAAAATATTATTTTATAAAACAACATCTTTTTTTTTTATAACTTTATCAAATAGTTTTCTTAATTGGTTTTATCAATATATATAACTATTATATAATATTTTTTGAAAAAACTTGCAATATAACTAACAAATTTAAATATTCAAAAATATATTTCTTAACTTTATCTTTTTAATCTAATTCTAATACTACTAATACACCTATTATAAATTTAATTATATCTATTAATAACTAGTTAAGTTTAGATTACATACTTACTAATTGTATTTACTAAATACCAAGACTATTACTTTAGATTTTCTCTAACCTTTTATATTTAAAATTAATTTAAAATAATTAATAATAGTATTATATAGAAATGGAGATGTAATGTTATATTGGATATTATAAATAAGTAATATAAATGTAGTTTAAAAATTTTAATGTAATTATTTCTATTATCTAATAAAGTTTCTACTTAATATTTTAAAAAAAAAAAACTTTTTATTATTTAATTAATATTTAATTAATATTAAAATATTGATTTTTATCTGTATTTTTTCTTTTAAAAAAAATTAAATAAAAATTATATTTTAAAGTATAAAACATTCAAATAATAAAAATAAAAAATTTTATATATACTTAAACTCCAACACATGCCTACTGCTTAATCATGCTATTAGAAAAATTAATATATGGACTATTCTCTGAATCAAATACAATATCTTATTTAATTATATTTTAACTATCCAAATCTAGGTGAGTCTTAACCACTCTAGTAGGTTTAGGTCACAGATAAATATATCTGAGCTTCACTCTTGAATGTAGTTTTCTTCTTATTTGTACTTAAGTTAATTATATATAGTTAGCAGTTTAACAGTTAGTCTTAACTGCAAGTGTTGGTCTCGGTTATAGCATTTATATATAGAAGTATTTTTGTATATAGTAACTCTATGAAGTTACTAACTTTAAAAACTACCAATAAAGATATGAGCAAGGCCTCACCTTAATACCAAAAAAAAAAAATCTTATTAAAATATATTATATTAACTAACTTGAGTTGCATTTACTAAAGTGAAAGTTTATAATACAAGTAACTTTTGTTATAATGAAGTCATTAAGCTGTAAAATTTTCTTCACTATATTGAATATTAGTAAATTCACTAGGTCAAAAAAGTTTTATTCACTGTAATAAACAGTTCTTGTATCGGAAGTTCACTGTAGTGAGAGTGACATTTATATAACTGATAATATCTTCGATTAGTATTGCAGTATTGACAAATAAGAGCTCGTGACATGTGTAAATCGAAAATCATGTGAACGGCAAATCGATCCTATGCTCTGTCAAGCGAAATCGACCTCCGACCTTAAAATTCTGATCCGGGACCAATAAAATCTCGGGATCTCGTAACAGCGAAAACAGCAAAAAAAGTAAAAATTCTTAAATAAAGCCAAATTTTATTATATTAACCAAACTTCCGACTTCAAATTAAAAATGTTCAGCTTTAAAATTTATAGATAGAATACTTGCGATACTCCAACCCAAGGTATTTGGATCGGAAGGGTCCGATTTTCGCTTGACATAAGGGTACTCTTAATTATTGTTAATTATTGGCTAACTCTTGTTGATCGGCACGTGAACGTGAAAACGTTTTTTCTGTTTGTTGATTCTGAAAGTTTCGGCGCAAATTACACACTTAATTTTGCCTGAAGTGCCTAAAAATATCGGTTTACATATAATCGATATTTTTCATACTACCTTTCTATTAAACATATAAAGAATGTCTTCGGATAAAGAGTCACCACCAACTTCGATAGAGCACACTCATATTTCAGTCCAATCAGAGATAGGAGTGGGGCGTCAATCTTCCCCTTCAATAAGTGAAGGGCTAAGTAAAAATCAACAAGATATAAACAAACTGACAGAAGAAATGTTTTTTAAAGTGGCTGATTATTTAAAAGGAGAGATCCTAGGTACCTTATTTTACTAGTCTATTTTGATAATATTTAGTGCATTTTCTTTCAGCTTCAATATTCTGAGGCTCGATTGATTTATTTTTAGTTAAAATTTATAGCTACAACTGAAGATTACAAGCTTTTAGAAACAATGAACAAAGTTACGCGAGAACGGTATCAAGAAATGTCTAAAATGGCACAAAATTTGGTTGTAGAGATGGCTAACTTTCAAAGAATTTGTATGTCCTTTAAATTTATATAATTTGAATAAGGTTATGTAATTTATAACTATCGGACTTCGATTTAATAGATACTAGCTTCGAACCGTATATTCAACAAATTGATGAAATATGTGAACAAGTTGATTTTTTGGAAAAGGTTACTAATGAATTAGACGAATATTCAAAAGAATTGGGTATGTAGTTTTCTTGGCGAAGTAAGTTATTGTCCTGATTTACTACTAATTAAATCATACTATTAGAATCGCGATTGAAGAACTTGATTAAATAGATTTTTATATATCCAATGGTTAACCCGAATTCTAGGCGGATGATAAATAATTTAATAGATAATTTGTTTTCTGTATGTTTTCTTTTCGTTGATAATTTATATATAATCGGTATTATAGGTTTGCAAGTTGAGCTTGCAAATATATACAACATATTAAAGTTCTGATATTAATTAAAAGCATATATCTTGTCATTAAAAAAACATACATTTTATGATAAGCATATGTCATTTCTATCGCGATCAGTTGGTTGCATAAAGATCATGTTATTGTTACAATAGTGGTGTCTTGAATATCATGTGATATATCATATCTAGGGTGATCCGCACATGATTCTCTAGCAACGATCCCCATGTAGTTTTTATTTATACACGTACCTGATGGATTAGCAAGTGGCATCGAGATAAAATTTTTTTTTCATATGAAAATATAAAAGTGAAATAATATATATATGCTCGTTAATTCATTCCCTCCAAATTCCTGATCATAAGTTGTTACAAAAATGGCATCGAAACTAGATATCAATGCATCCGTTAATAGTGATAATGTCAGAGAAGAATTATCCTATTTACGACACTTTTTAAAAACTGTCCAAGAAAGTATCGAAAAAATCGAGACAGACGTAAAGGGGCTTTTTAAATCGAAAAAGGACCAGGCTCACGGAATAAGAATGATACTTATGGGGCCACCTGGCGCCGGTAATATTTTTTTTTGCTTTATTATTAACATTATTATTATCATTATTTATTTATTATCATTACTATTATTGTTATTAATGTTATTTTATGATTATTATTACTATTATTATCATTATCATTATCCACATTATTATTACTATTACTGTTATCATAATTATAATTATTATTATTATTGTCAAAAGAAAAATAATTTAATTTCTAATTTATAACTTTTTATTGATCGTATTATGATTTATTTCATCCAAACAGGTAAAGGAACTCAATCTCCAAGGATCAAAGAGAAGTTTTGTGTTTGTCATTTAGCTACTGGTGATATGTTACGATCTCAAGTAGCTGCAAAAACAAAACTTGGTTTGGAAGCCAAAAAAATCATGGATGCCGGAGGTCTGGTGTCTGATGAAATAATGGTAGGAATGATCCAAAATGAATTACAAAATAATCCAGAGTGTAAACAAGGGTTCGTTAAATTTATTTTACTTATACATATATTTATACTTGATTTATTGTTTAATCGAGGTTTCACCAAACTGGTCCTCTCCCTTTGTGTTTGTTGCTATCACGTCATTTACTATGACAGTTTTATTCTAGATGGATTTCCTCGTACAGTACCTCAAGCAGAAAAACTTGATGCCATGCTTGAAAAAGATAAAAAAAAACTTGATCATGCTGTCGAATTAATAATTGATGATAATTTATTGGTTTCACGTATCACTGGTCGTTTGATTCATCCATCTAGTGGTAGAACGTATCATAAAATTTTCAAGTAAGTAGCGTAAAGGCTATAGTAAAATGTAGAAATTTCTTATTATTGACTAATTTTTTAAAGTCCACCAAAAGTTCCTGGTAAAGATGATGTAACTGGAGAACCATTAATTCAACGTGCAGATGACAATGCTGAAACCTTAAAGAAACGTTTAGCGACTTATCATAAGCAAACTGCTCCCGTGGTAGACTATTATAAACAAAAAAATATTTGGTCTGGTGTAGATGCATCTCAAAATCCTGAGGTAGTTTGGGCGAGTTTATTAGCCATCTTCGGTAATTCTAAGAAAAATTAAAAAAAATAATACATTACAAAAAGTTGGTTTAATGAAACAGTAAATTAAATCACTATAATATTTATGAACTATGGTCTTTTTCTTCGGTGGTATGTTGAAGTGCAGTTTGTTTCAAAAAAGAAAAAAAGCACACTTCAAACTGACGGCTATCTTGGACGGTCTATCTCTTATAGAGAACGAACTTCCAACTCTCCTAATTATAGTATCATTTTAAATTTTTCTTTAGTATAATTGTATGAATTCATTGTTATTCTGTCACATGGCACTGTCGTTAGATCTGAACTGACTTTTGATTTTGCCTAATGTAACGAGAATTGGAATTATTTTAATTGATTACAAATTAATAAAACCGTCTTTATATTAAAGATACGCGCGTGATTAGGTAGCAAGCAACTTGGTGTGCAGAAAAGTTCTATGAGAAGGCCAGAACTGTGCATTTATCAATTAATGTCTAGGCGTATCACGTGACAGAAACCTCCATAAGTTTGCCAATAAGCAAATTAACGTCGCGTCCTTTTTTTCTTTGTCTTTGAAGTATTTACCTCCGAAACCATATGGGTATTGCCATTAGCATCTTTAAATTCATATTCTTCCGTTTATTAATCTCGTTATTGAAAGAACGTTCAAGTGTTTCGAAATAATTCGATATAATAACAACGCGGAGATGATTACATTGACTACGTCAAAACTCATGAGGGGTCATCAAAATTCCATGTCGGAATACCTCGGAACCATGATCGGGAATTACCTATGATCACTAAAAGTCAATGAAGTCATGGCCAAGGTTGGGATAACTTACATTGTAAGTTACGTCGTAAGTTACATAACTTCATGTAAGTTACAAATACATAATGCTAATGCAAGTCAACTTTGAGATTAAATTCGGCTGGCACTAGGAATGCTAAATTCATAGGGAAGCCGATTCTTATTCAGTATTAAAATATGTACGTTACGTAAGTTATGTCAGTTAAAATTTAACTTACTGTCAGTTTAAATAATTTACGAATATTACCCAACCCTGGCTGGACAGCTTTACTTAATGAGTGAGCCATGAGTCATAGCCTACTCATTAAGTAAAGATGCCCAGTTGATAATTTTGGCCTAGAAATGATTGACTTGTATTGTTAAATGCGGGCCTAAATCCGATAGATCCGACCCGGAAATTTAGTGATCCCTTTGCAAAAAATTAGATTAGTGAAGCAGCAGATAGACCAAATCAGCGGTTGGAAAGGCCGATACTAATAAATTTTCCCAAAGTTTTACCATATAACAAAATGGTAGTTCACTGGAATGTTGCACATTATATAATTTAATATTATAGTGCAGCATTATATGTAATTTACACTATGTAAGATTTTTAAATTTTTGTCAATTATTTTTATCATAGTAATTTTTTAGTATCTTTAAATCATTTTACATTCTAGTAAAGCAAATTTATTTCAGTAACTTGTAAATGATATTAGAATCATGTAGTTTTAAATCTATGTTGAGACATTTGTTTTTTTTTTGTTTTTTTTTTAATCTTAAGCAGTTATGCTAGTACTTTATTAAGATTCTTGAAACTATATACCTATACAATTATATAGAATTTCCTAATATCGAAGTCTAGCATTATTTAGCCATCCTAATGGTATCTAAGTGCAATTTGTTGCATTATCTTAGTTAAAGATAGACTGCTTATTTAATTACTTAAAGTCATATCAGAAGGGTTTTTTCTTTTCTGTGACTAGTATATTTATTGTCTTTAAAGTTTCTTTCTTTATTTGGTCTGTCTTTTCTGCTTTTTTTTCTTTTTTTTCTTCTTTTGTCTGTTTATCTTTTCTTATTCTTTTTTTTGTTTTCTCTTTTGCATGAGCATCTTTTTTCATTTTATTTGTTATATTAATCTTTCTTTTTCATTTTATTTGTTATATTGATCTTCTTTTTTCAGGCTTGTATTTTTTCATATTGTACCTTCTATACTTGATTATAAAAAGTGTTTCATACTGTTCTTATTACTATATATAAACACTTTTATATTACCTGCTTGCTTAAAAGTCACTCAAGTCTTTTTTTTATTTTTAGTATTATGAGTCTCTTTATTAGCATTTTTTGTTTGTAATTTCTTTAGTTTCTATTTTTTCAAATAATACTTTATATAAAACTTATAGTGAAATTTTGTTTTTTTTCTTTTTTTTGAGTCTATTTCATGCTATTACTGTTGTAATTTTTTGAATCTACTTCCACAAAGTCTTTTGTCTATTACAATTTGTTAAATATGTCTGAGTCTCTTTTTCTTCAATTTGGCATACTTGACATTCTGCTCTTATATATACTTTTAGTCTTTTTCTGTTTAATTCCTTAAGTATTAGTAGGCTATCTATTATGTACTTGATTGCTATAGTTCTTCTTGTACTAAGTTTTCTTAATGTACAATAACTCTTTTTGTTCTATTCATTTTTTTCTAAAAACTTGACCAATTATATAATGTATTTTCTGTTTCTGATTCTAATGTTCATATTGGGTTTGTATCTCTTTAAATAGCTCCTATTCTGGCATTTGTTATTATTTTATATAGAAGTCTTATTAGTATTTCAATTTTCTTGTTTTCTCATTCTAAATAGTACTCTATCCTATCATATTTAACTTTATCTGCATATATTTTATTCTAATAATTTGTTCTTTTTTTTGTAAGAGAGTCTGTTCTGTTATTCTACTTATTTTTATTATAACTTTTAACTTTGATTATTTCTATTTTAATATTCTTGCTCTTGATTAGATCTACAATATTCATTATTCACATTGTATTTTTTTCTTCAGAATTCTTTCTGCTTCTATATTTTGAAATGTTCTATTAATGTTTCTTAATATTGCAATACTGTCTGTAAACACTTTTACACTTTTTCCTTCTGATATTATTAGAATTGTTATTCATATTACTGCTAATTCTGCTATTATTGCTGATAACTAACTTTTAAGTTCCAATACTGTTTTCTCCTTTGGCTAATCTTCTTCCTTTTCTATTGTATTCAACTAATATTTATTTTTTCTGTATTGGTTTTTTTTTTCTTCTTATATAATGCTTCATTAATATAAAAACTGTATCTTCTCTTATCTTTTTTTTTGTTTTATATCAATATCTCTACTAACTAATTTGTAATCATGTTATTTAATTCTTATTTTTTAATCAGTTCTATTTTTAATTCTTCTCTTTATCTTATTTCTAGTAATCTTATTTTATCTTTTTTCCATTTTTCTATTATTCTATCTTCTAGTAACTACTCTAATATTGTATTTATTCTACTATTAGTTTTCTCTATTAACAACTCTAATATTACTTTCATGTTTTAGTTTTGTTTTATCCATCTTTCACATTTATCTGTTATCTATTCTGAACTGCTTTTACAACCTTTGCATATACTTAATTCTGTTAATATTCTCTCTTCTTCTATATTTATTAACCAATGCTCTGCTAATACTTTTTTCTTTTTCTTCTTAATTATTTTGCCTAATTGCTGGTTGTATTTTAATTTGTAAATAATCTATTCTTTTTTTCTTTAATCTTTAGACATTTTTGTCTATTTAATCTTTAATGCTTGTGTATTGTATCTTCTTATTTTGTAGTATTTTTGTATTTCTCTGTTCACTTATGTTTTTAGCATCTTTTCTTCTATTTGCTAAACTATTAGCTTTCTTTTCTTTGCATAACAGACCTTAAAGATTCTTGAGCTATCTCCATATGATTAGATTATTATCTTTCATATCTATAAGTTGATTCAAATATAATAACTCTTATTTATTTATTGTACTACTGCTTACTATTCATGTTTTTGTTTCTAGCATATCTTTTATCTATTTACCATGTTCATAAACTTTTTATAAGGGTTTTTTGCTTTAATATTTATACTTATTTCTTTTGTTTTAGCTATTGTTCAACATACTAGATTGTTCTTTTAAAACTTCTTAACTTCTATTTTTCTTTTATTGTCCTAAATGTCTTCTGTTAAGTTTACTTTTTGATATTTTTGAACTATTCTAAGTCTTGTTAATTCTCCCAAACTATTCTGTTTATTGAGTCTTAGTCTTAAGAAGAGACTACTTATTTGTTTGGTTATTATCTCTTGATTTGGTGTTTTGAATTTATCTAAGTCTTTGTGCTCAATTGTGCAGTTATTTGATGTTCTTATCATATTGTACTTATGTTTAGCTAAGCATATTAACAGTTGATGTATTTTATTAATTATCTTTTCTGCCATTTTTGTTAGTTGTAAGAGATATCCTAGCTTAGAAATTATTATTGTATTGTTTATATATGTGATTTGACTTATTATCATCTTTTTGTATCTTAGATCTTTAACTGTTTAACTAACTATTCCTTTTGCTTTCTTATAGACTAGTGCTTCTCTTATTCTGCTATTTAGCTATATCTCTAATGACTTTACAATTTTGTTTTTGGGTTTTTCTCTTATTTTATTATGATTAAATATAATTTTTCTTTCTTTTTCTTATATTCTTGTATTTATTACTATGAGCTTTGATTTAGATCCATTTATTTCAATATTATTTGCTTTAAAGAACTCCTTTGCAATACTTAGAATTTTTAACATTTATTTTTTGCATATTGTGTTATCAGCATATGCAATTGTTGCTTGTCTATAACTTGTAATATTATTACTGTATGCTTTTTCTGTAATCTTTTGTTCTACTATATAGTCTAATGTTTTATTTTCTTGTATTTTTTCTAATAATAGGTTATAGAAAAGACACCAAATTAGTGATGAGATTACCTCTTTTTGGTCTATTTTGTTTTTTATTATTATTTCTTTTATTAAATTATAAGCTGTAATAACTTTGAGTTGCTGTTTATAAAACAGATTACTTATGTATTTTCTTGTTTTTTTATAAGATTTTAACTCTTTTTAAGGCTCATTCTAGGCTTTTTAGTAGAACTGAATTAAATGCTTTTTTCA